AATGTCCAATCACTCTAGGAGTCCCAATTCTCTTAAGGAAGAACTTCAGGATTTAAACAAACTCAATGAGAAAAGAAAAGAAAGCCAACCCTGACCTAGAATACCCAATTTAAAATTAACCATAGACAGCTCTTAACTGAGGTGCTGCAAAGTTATTTACAGACCTTGCTACATTACGTTTCCAAACTTTGCAGAATACATATTACCACAATTTTTTAAGTGAGAAAACTAAGGCTGACATAAAACTTTGCCAAGAGTCTGGAATTAAACAAGGTCTGTCTGACTTGGAAACTAGCATTTTTTCCAGTACACAACACCCCCTCCTTACATCTCTGAGGGGCACTACATTCTGAATTAATACAAGCAGTACCCATCCACTGGTCCTAATTTTCTCCCTTCAGTCTATTAATACAGTATATCTAGACTATAATTTTGTTTTGCCTGAGTCTTTATTCTCTGGACTTAATGCTGATTCTTTCAGAAGTTTCTACATGACAAAATTTTAGGTCCCTTCACCCTCCAGATCACTCCTCTGAATATATTCATTTGTTGATAATGCCCTTAAAGTTTGGCACTTAAGACAGAACTTGATGCAGGGGTAGGGTGCCGTCAGCAGAGTGACCCCTAGTTCTAAAAATTCTACGTCTTCCCTACTTTTCTATGAAGAGTTGACTTTTTGAACCCAAAGGCAGAATCTGACTTATTACTATTGAATTTCAATTCAATAAAATTAAATAAACTGGAGTTTACCATTCCTGATTATTTGAATCCTCATTCTGCACACTGATGATGTTGCAATTCCTACTAACTCCTTGCCATCCACAAATATGATATGCATGCCTTCTGTTTTTCATCCCGGTCACTAGCAAAACTGCATTAAGTTTTATCCTTTACTCCAGAAGGTTGCACTATAGGCCCTCCATTTCATCAAAAGCCTCATACTTAATATGCCTCACTCTGTCCAGAGTCTGTCTGTTGGGATAGCAGACTCAAGTGAGATTTGTCACACTTCAGAGGAAACCCCAGAGGAAACCCCAGGCCAAACATCATCACTTCTTTTTTTTTTTTTTGAGACTGAGTCTCACTGTCACCCAGGCTAGAGTGCAGTGGCGCCATCTCGGCTCACTGTGATGCCTTCCTCCCAGGTTCAAGCAATTCTCGTGCCTCAGCCTCTCGCGTAGCTGCAATTACAGGCACACACTACCACCCCACCCAGCTAATTTTTGTTTTTTTTGTTTTTTGAGACAGAGTTTCGCTCTTGTTGCCCAGGCTGGAGTGCAATGGCGCGATCTTGGCTCACGGCAACCTCTGCCTCCCGGGTTCAAGCGATTCTCCCGCCTCAGCCTCCGGAGTCGCTGGGATTATAGGCATGCACTACCACACCCAGCTAATTATTGTATGTTTAGTAGAGACAAGGTTTCTCCATGTTGATCAGGCTGATCTTGAACTCCCAACCTCAAGTGATCCGCCTCCTTGGCCTCCCCCAAAGTGCTGGGATTACAAGTGTGAGCCACCATGCCTGGCAATTTTTGTATTTTTCATAAAAATAGGGTTTCACCATGTTGGCCAGGCTGGTCTTGAACTCCTCACCTCAAGTGATCTGCCTGCCTCAGACTCCCAAAGTGCTGGGTTTATAGGTATGAGCCACCGCATGTGGCCCCAGCATTACTTTTAATGTTCTCTCTCCTCAAACCCACATACCCACCTCTACAAAAAATGTTAACTTCTGTTTCCAGCTCCTCCTCCTGCATTATTTTCCATTCTGGGTCACTGAGCAGGATATAGGTTACCCAACCTCCCCTCCCCAGGATCTTAATCCCAGACCTACCGTTTGCCTAGGACTGGTTGTGTGAACTTAGGCAAATTCCTTAGCATTTCTCTGCCTCTCTTCCCATCTGAGAAACAGAGATAGTAATAATACCTAGTAAATAAGTTAATGGATGATAGTAGTAAGAAAAAATGGGCTGGGTACGATGGCTCATGCCTGTAATCCCAGCACTTTGGAAAGCTGAGGTGGGTGGATCACAAGATCAGGAGTTCAAGACCAGTCTGGCCAACATGGTGAAACCCCATCTCCACTAAAACTACAAAAAAAAATTATCCGGGCGTGGTGGCAGGTGCCTGTAATCCCAGCTGCTCGGGAGGCTGAGGCAGGAGAATCGCTTGAACTCAGAGCGCGAGGCTGCAGTGAGCTGAGATCGTGCCACTGCACTCCAGCCTGGGTGACAGAGTAAGATTCAGTCTAAAAAAAGAAAAAAAAAAGAAAAAAGAAAAGAAAAAATGTTCCATTTCATATCAGATTTTCATAGCTAGTACCAGAAAAGGGGTAATAAGCTGGCAAAGCTAAAGAATTGGATATTTTTTAATGTAAATTGTTTTTCTTCATTTGTCTACTTTATTAAGCTGTCTTCATGTACCAAGAAACATACTGTCCCCTCATTTAGAAACAGACTAACTCCATTTTCCTCCACTATCCCCTCCCCTATCCCTGTCCTTGATCTGTAGATCCTGTTAAGACAGGAAAAACAATGTTGGTCAAAGGGTACACGCTTTCAGTTACAAGATGAACAAGTTCTGAATATGTAAGATAGAACATGGGAGGTGATGTGGCTGGGTGCGGTGACTCATGCCTGTAATCCCAGCACTCTTGAAGAGGCGCGAGGCGGCGCGATCACGAGGTCAAGAGATCGAAATCATCCTGGCAACACAGTGAAACCCCGTCTCTACTGAAAATACAAAAACTAGCTGGGCATGGTGGCGCATGCCTGTACTCCCAGCTACTCGGGAGCTGAGGCAAGAAAACTGCTTGAACCCAGGAGGTGGAAGGTGCAGTGAGCCAAGGTCGCACCATTGCACTCCAGCCTGGCAACAGAGCAAGACTCGTCACAAAACAAAAAAAAAAAACAAAACAAACAAACAAAAAAAAATCATGGAAGGTGATGTGTGTGTTAATTGACCATGCAATCATTACACAAATGTATATGCATATCAACCATGTTGTATACTCTGAAGAAAATTAAAAACGACAGGAACAACAAACACATCCTTAACACTCAATCATTTTATCCCAGAGTATGCTGAGTGCATTTCTCAGGGGAAACACCAAAAATCCATGGAACTGCTCTCATTTTCCTATTCCCCTAAATGTCACTTTAACATAGGAAATGTCCATTTTGGGGTTATTCGCATTCAAACACAGGCCAATGAAAAAAGCTAAATTAAAATGTAATTATCAAGGTAATGGAAAGATATCCTAATCTCTTCATTAACAAGACTATCAGGAATATTTCAATATGTCCAATCACTCTAGAGTCCCAATTCTCTTTAAGGAAGAACTTAAGGATTTAAACAAACTCAATGTGAAAAATAAAACTTTATTACAAAAATAGTTTTGACATTTTAAAGGAATGCAGGACAAGGTGTTTTCCAGTTCAAAAGGTCTGTTGTAAGCTATAGAAGTAAATTCCCAAGGCTGGTAATAACTGACTCATATTCTTCACAAGTGACCTAAACAACAAGGACCAATTCACCTCAAATTCACAGAGCCATAAATCACCTCTGCTTCCCATGACCTTTTCCATATCCCGCTTCTACTGTCTCTTCCAACCATGACACAGAACTGAAACATACTTTAAAAATCTCATCCTTGGCTATGCACGGTGGCTCACACCTGTAATCCCACCACTTTGGGAGGCCGAGGCAGGTAGATCAAGAGGTCAGGAGTTTGAGACCAGCTGGACCAACATGGTGAAACCCTGTCTCTACTAAAAATACAAAAATTAGCCAGGCATGGTGGCATGCACCTGTAGTCTCAGCTACTCAGGAGACTGAGGCAGGAGAATGGCTTGAACCTGGAAGACGGGTGATCACACCACTGCACTCCAGCCTGGGTGACAGAGTGAGACTCCGTCTTAAAAAAAAAAAAAAAAAACAAAAACTCATCTTACTGAACCATCTTCATAAGCTCTACTTTGTCTAGTTGGATTTCATCTCTTTCTGGAAAATTTATTCTTTTATTGGCATTTGAGCCCTTAACGCAATGGCTTCATTAGCCATTTTTGTTTTTCTTTTTGGAATCCTTAAATAGAAAACTCAGTTTTTAGGGGATTTCCAAATAGGAATAGGGCAAAGTGGCGACTCCAGTATCATCCTCCACAGAAAAGAAAGAAGCAAAATCAAGCCAACGAGGGCCCTTTATTTGTCCTCATTGCTAAGTCTT